CAAAAAAAATTCGACATATGGCAACAATAGCTGGTAAAGCTCGATGTATTATATGTGACAAAGAAAAACGTACAGTTAAATGTGAAGGTTGTTCACAAATGTTTTGTTATATACATTTACCAGTTCATCATCAAGAACTAAGTCAACAATTAGATGAAATTGAACAAAATCGTGATCTTTTTAGACAAACACTTAGTCAACATGCAGATGATACTAAACAACACTCATTAATCAAACAAATTGATCAGTGGGAAGAAGATTCGATAAAAAAAATCCAACAAACAGCAGAAGAGTGTAGACAATTATTATTTCATCATATAACGAAACATATTACTCAAATAGGAGGTAATTTAGCCGCATTAACTGATCAATTGAAGCATATTCGTCAAGAAAATGATTTTAATGAACTAGATTTAAATCATTTGAAAGAAAAATTAACACAATTATCGGAAGAACTTTATCAACCACCTAATGTCTCAATTCAACAAGATTCAGCATCACTTGTAAACAAAATTTCTGTTGTTGTTTCTTCTGGTAAGTATTTTCATTATATCTAAATTAATCAGAGAATCAGTTTCTAAAAGGAAAAGAACTCTTTTTGAGGACTTCACTAAAACTTCATACGAGAAAAGAATGAGTTTTTCTGAATTAATACCCGAATATTTCATCAAGAGAATTGATCGAAAATATGTTCATCGTTTTATCAAATCAGAATGAATTCATGGAGAAGATTGAATACAGATTATTCTCTATGAACCTTTTGGGAATAAAATGATGTAGACCGATATTTAAAACCAGAAGAAATATGTTATATATGGAAGTATATCTGTTATAGAAACCCAGGTCCATCAATCTGACATCGGAACCCATAGGATCTTGTAAGATCCGAATAGCCGAAAAAATCCAATAGGAACTCGTGAAACGGAATCACATCGGATGCTGTTGGGTGAATCCTAATTACTACAAATTTTATTAGCATTCATTTAATCAGTACTAGATTGCGATCTGAGGATACTATAGGATTGGACTGTTGGATCTCTTATAGGATCCGATCGGATTCGAATACTACGGGTCCCAATGTGATTCCGTTTCGCGGATTCTATCGGATTTCATATTATTTCGTCGGATTCCGATAGAACACCGATCGGATTCGATAAGATTCGACTATCGGATTGATCGACCTAGGCAGATATGAAGTCTGTTTTAATAGTCATAGATTGTATTACAACAGACATGTCGAATTACAGCTAACGGTGATATATCACTATTTGCATTCTTAAAACTATCTTGAGGGTGAGGGTGAAGGTGAGGGTGAGGGTGAAGGTGAGGGTGAGGGTGAGGGTGAAGGTGAGGGTGAGGGTGAGGGCGAAGGTGAGGGTGAGGGTGAGGGTGAAGGTGAGGGTGAGGGTAAGGCAGAGTTGTAACCGGCCCGGCGAAACCGGTCCGGACCGGCCAGTCCGGGCCGGTGCCGGGCCGGGCCGGTTGGAACAGCTAGACCGGCCGGTTTTTACCGGTTTTTGCTGGTTTGAAAAAGTTGTGTAATTATTAATTTTTTAATAAGATAATATTATTTATTTCTGTTCATTACAATTTTTGAAACGAAAAGAGCAAAAGTTTCGTTTTTCGATGTAAATTCAAATGTTTCTATACACTAAATTTCCTCTTAAAAGATTTCTATTATCTGCTATTTACAACATCTTAATAATCAGAACAGTGTCACATATTGATTGTTATTTCTTTTTTATGTATTCCTTTTGATATTAATTCAATTCTTGTTAACATGCCGATACATATGTTTAATTAAATTAATAAAAAAGAGAGTAGGCCGTCAAGCTGATTGTACAGATAGATATACGCACGATACGATAAGTACCCGTCATATATTTTTTTTATTCAACACAGTAAAAGTACGTAACATAATCTTCTTATTTTTATAATTATTATGGATGCGGATAATCTTACCGCACAGCAAATTCAAAACAAATTAAAATTCAAATATTTTGAATTAGTTAAAAATGAAAAAGGTAATAATGATATATGGAAAAATGATGTATCTTTAGTTGGAAAGAAAAATGAAAATGATATTATTGATGTATTAGAAGGTTGGATAGCTTGTAACTATTGTCATACGGCTTATCGAACACATTCTAAAAAAGATTCTAATGGTAAAAGGAAAAATTTTGGATTAAATTCAATGCATGATCATTTGAAACAATGTAAATTAAAATCAAAAGCTAATGAAATTAATAATCAAAATGATAAAACATCTGGATTTTTTATTCAACCCAAATTTGCTTATAATAAAAAGGCATTACCAGACAAATATAAATTAAAACTTAAAGATGCTGAATTAAAATTCGTGGTTGCCGGTTCACATTCATTTAATTCATTAGAAAATGATGGATTATTACAATTATTTCAAACTGGTATTGATATTGGTGCAAATTTAGGTTTGTTAGATGTTAAAGATATATTCTATGGAAGACAAACTATTCGTGAAGAAGCTGTATCCAAATTTGATCAATATACAGATCAAATACGTTCTTTATTAGAAGAACCAATTAAACAACATTGCATTGCTGCCACAGCTGACCTGTGGACTGATGATTTAATGAAAAGAAGTTATTTGGATTTTACAGTATTTTATGTTAATAATATTTATGAATTAAAACATACTTTATTAAGATGCAAACATTTTGATGAACAAAAAATCGGAATTAATATATGGCATGAGATAGAACAAATCTTTCAATCATTTAATTTATCATTCGGTGACACACCCATCACTACAGATCAAGGTGCAAATATGATTAAAGCATTAAGGGTAACTGATGAAGCAAGATTTCCATGTTTAGCACATCGAACAAATACAGTGTTAGAAACAGCATCGGAAAATGTTAAAAAAATTAATATTGAATTTAAAACTTTCTGTACATCAGTTAGTGATCTTCGAACTTATTGTCAACAAAGTGGTGGAATCCAGTTTAAATTACCAAAAACATTAAAACGTACAAGTGGTACACGTCCATGGCGTTCATATTTTCTTATTCATGATAGTTTACATCAATCATATGAACAATTGCTGATATTATTACGTGAACGTGGTGAACAACATCGTCTTATACACATTAATCCACAATTATCACATGAAATTAGTAAGTTTATGGAAAATTTCAGTTTAATTTTTGATAGTTTAGAATTTTCAAATCGACCAACATTACAAAATGTTATACCAAGTTATTATCGAATGCATGAATGTTGTATTATAGACAGAAAACAAAAAAATTCTATTATAAATTTATTAAAAGTTGAAATTGCCAAAGAACTTGGTGATAAATATTGGACGTCGACAACACAATTACATTGGATTGCTGCATATCTTGATCCAACATTTAAAGAATTATTATTTGTTACTGATGAAAAATTTTTATCTGAACAGAAGAAATTAATTAAAGATGGTATTTATGTTTTGGCTAATGATTTTAAAGATGTTATTTTATCATCCAATGAATCTTCACATAAAAATGATTCACCACCAACAAAAAAAATGAAAGAAGATCCTTTTGCATCAATGCGTGGTGTACGAACAACAACATCTTCAGTTATTGTTTCAACAAATTCATTTATTAACGATGTCGAACGACAAATTCAAATTTATGAAAATACATCATATGAATTACCTGAAGATAATAATCCATTGATATTTTGGCGTGATCAACAATCAATCTTACCGATTTTATCCAAAATAGCAAAGTCTATATATGTTATACAAGCATCTTCGGCTGAATCGGAACGGCACTTTTCAATGGCCGGGAGAATTGTCACAGAAGAAAGATCTCAATTGGATCCTGAATGTGTCGAATCAATTGTTGTTTTAAAGGAAGCCTATTTAAACAAGACATGGCCAATATCAAAATAACAACACTTTTGTCAGTATGTATTTATGTGTCACATAGTTTATTAATTTAATATGTATCATTATGATATTTTTTTTGTGTAAATTATGTATATGATAAAAGAAGAAATTTAAATCAATTATCAGCTTTTGCAGAAAAGAACTTTATTTTGTCCAGAACATATTCAATCGTAGAAATTTGTGTTATTGTTTGCTATGAAAATGATAATATACATGAAAAGGAAAGTGTAAAAATCAATTTATGGATAAAAGGTCTATGTCTAGAACTAGTTTTACCATTTAAAGAAAAATCATACGTCTGCCGGTTTTTGCCGGTCTAGAAGTATTTTTAGACCGGCCGGGCCGGGCCGGTCTAAGATTTAAACCGGTCAGGCCGGTCCGGTCTGAATTTTTTTGACCGGTTACAACTCTGGGGTAAGGGTGAGGGTGAAGGTGAGGGTGAGGGTGAGGGTGAAGGTGAGGGTGAGGATGAAGGTGAGGGTGAGGGTGAAGGTGACGGTGAGGGTGAAGGTGAGGGTGTGAGGATCTAAAAGGAAACACAATATTTAATGAACAACAGGGAACACCATTTGCAATTGTTGGTTTTAAAGGCTTTAATGCAGATGTTGGAGAATTTGATTGGATTGTTGAACAATCAAGACATGAATATGATCAAGCATTTGCTCGACTTTCGTCACAAAATGGAAAAATTAGTGGTACATCAGCCAGACAAGAAATGATCAAATCAAAGCTTGTAAATTTTATTTAAAAGAAATTTTTTTTCTTGATATTCTTTATTTCTAGCCAAATAATGTCCTTGGTCGTATATGGAAATTAAGTGATATTGATAGAGATGGCATGCTTGATATTGATGAATGGGCTTTGGTTCAACATCTGAGTAAGTATCCAATGATCTTATTGAATTAATAAAAAAATAATCCGTGAAGAATCTTGCGTAGAATTCGATTGTAATAAAGATGAAAGTCAAATTTGTTTTTTTTCTTGTAGTCAAAATTAAATTAGATGGCCATGAATTACCAACCACATTGCCTGATCATCTTGTGCCACCAAGCAAACGCCATTTAATTAAAAATACTGCTAGTTCATCCTATGGAAACAAATAACACTCGTCGTTTCGACTCACTTAACTCTCAACTGAATGGCTAAAACTATTTACATAGTACTTTATCTTGTTGAGACAATTGATGACAATATCAAATGTATGCACTCTAAAAAAAATCGGTTTTTTACCGAACCCTCAAAAAAGGTTCCGGAGATGTCTAAAAGCATCCAAAGATGTCCAAAGTCTCAAAAAAAGGATAAAAAAATCTACGAAACCTTTAAAGGTTCTTACCGTGTACCGAGGATAAGAACCTTTTGCTGCGAAACCTTTTTTTAAGTTCCGTACATCAGAAAAAGGTTTCGTAGGAAAATACGAAACCATTAGAGTTTCGTATTAAACTCTACGAAATCATGAGGGTTTAGTGCAAAATCATGAGAGTTTAGTACGAAACTATTAGGGTTTAATATGAAACTCTAAAGGTTTCGTATTTTCCTACGAAACCTTTTTCTGCTGTACGGAACTTAAAAAAAGGTTTCGCAGCAAAAGGTTCTTATCCTCGGTACACGGTAAGAACCTTTAAAGGTTTCGTAGATTTTTTTATCCTTTTTTTGAGACTTTGGACATCTTTGGATGCTTTTAGACATCTCCGGAACCTTTTTTGGGGGTTCGGTAAGAAACCGATTTTTTTTAGAGTGTGCACGCATATTTGTTACAAACTATTATGATCGCCTACAGTAGTATAGTCGATTTAGAACTATAGTGATTCTCACAGATAACATTGCCATTGTCATCGATTACTTTGTAAGACAAAGTGTTTTAAAAAGTGGCGTCGTAAACTTCTCACTTGTGCATCGTAGTAGTTAAAAAATGTCTTTAATTTTTCTTTGGTTAATAATATGAAAAAAGAATAATTTTTTAATGAAAAGTTATAGAGAAAGTTAAATCATGGCTACTCAAAGCTGCGTCAACTTATGAAGTTATTTAGTGACACGAATGCTACTCTATCATGCAATGACAGTAATATGAGATATGTTGATTTCAATTGCTTGTGAGTGCTTGTATTTATGCTCGATTCTCTTGTGTGTAGTTCAACCAGAATATTTATAACACGTTGTGAAGTTAAAAGTGTTTTAACATCAATAATCATTCACTTTTTATGAATATCTCTTTAGTCAGATTTATGCATCAGTGTAGTTGCGTTGTCTCATAGAAAGATTCAATAAACATTATGCGTTTATATTATATTCGTGAATATTTATATTAAGTGTTATACGGCTTGTCCACGTAACGCGACACTTCGCTAATCCAGTTTTGAAAAAACTTTTTTCGAGTTGGACATCTGAATGAGTTACTAGACGTAGCTTTTAACAGTGATTACGAATTTGACATTTATTTTGTAAAAAATTCGATTTTGGCATAGAAAACTGGGTTTTAAACTTTTCAAAACTCGTATTTTGAAATTTTTAAGGCTCACTAAAAAATCTATCTCAGCCCAGGTATATCCAAATGGGCTGAAGTGAGAAGGCTCTGGTAAAATTTTCAGTTCGATACCCTGACGTTTGGCAGAGATATGAACCAAACAAGGGTCAAAAATAGCTCATTTTGCTACAAGGATTTATCAGTCCCGGCTCTATCAATATATTAAAATTTTTTTTTGTTTGAAATAGCATCTCAGGATGCAGGGCCCCACAGAGTCCTTTTTTTTAAAGTCTTACTTTTTTAGCGGAGAAAGGAGCTCACAAGTTCAATGCCTCAAAAAATGCACCAAAAACGCGCCAAAAATGGGTGCCCAGTCTCCCCCGGACAAAAAAACCGGCCTTTTTCTATTAGCTCGTTCTCCTCTATAGTTCAATGCTATATCTTTAATTTTTTATATATAGATAGAGCGTGTGTTAAAATACATACAGGTTGATTACGTTATTTTTAATAATTTTGTGTCGTTTGCTGGATTTATACAATACATCAAAAGTTTTTTATTTCAGCACAGTTGGATAGGGCTTGAGCTTCTCTATCAAAACATATAATTTGTTTATTAGTTTCTCATGCTCTAGTCCAAAATTTGGATGAGTCTAAAACGAGTGCTAAGAAAAATTTTTGA